TGAGCGGAACCACATTGCTGAGTGAAATGAACACCCAGGATGGCACAAAATCGCCCTGTACAACAAAAGCATGAGCTGATGGTTGGTTCAATCCTTCGGCTGGATGACATTCAACGTGACACTGCCCTTTGGATGGAATTTCGTACCGTTCCGCATTTTAAGACAGTGTTGTGCTCTGTCGCGCTGCACTGCAGAACAGTGTTTTTCGGGCAAAATCTTGACCGCGACCTCTGTAGCCAAGTGTAAACCTACTGGGCGTTTTTCAACGATAAGCGTCGTTATTGTTGGAATTACCTGGGTAACCGACGTGTTATCGGACAACTGTATTCACTTTCTTTGATCATATCGTCTCGCTAAGTATTTGTTATTCGAGTATTGTATGCAGGTCTTGCCCCAGAGAGAGCAACTTTCCTTTCGTGGTTATGACTGCGACTACAGTACTGGCACGTTGATTCACTTGTCGGAACAGTCTGCGACATCGCATATTAGGGCTGAGAAATGGCACAAATTTCAGCGAGTGTTTGAGGCTTTATCTGGCGACATTGGAATGCTGTTACCGTTTTGCTGTTGCAAATATCAGTGCAAAGGTCCAGCCCTAGGTTTCTCTGTCGCAATCATTTAAGCCTAACGTACTCATCCCCAGCACTTAGTACGATAAGATCTCTCATCAATGCACCGCGTAGGCATACGCGAAAATTGCATGTTCTTGCTAACCATTTTAGCCTTGTTATGTCGTTGTTGACTGAAACACCTGGCATGCAAATCGACCAAAAACAGGAAGTGTTGGTAAGTTTCACTAGCCCTGCCTTCACAGAAGTAAACAGAACTTTGGAGCACATCGATCAAACGGGGATATTGAGGTTCGCCGCCGAATTCGATTGCTTCCAGCACACTTCTCGGTTCTGCACCAAAAGCATTTCAATACATCGCCACTGGTAACTAACCGGATCGTTGTATAACAATATCCGTATGGCGAAATCCATTCACTTGGCTTTCCACAGGCACAAGTTTTCGGGAAGCCCACCTTCCGTCATTTGCAATGTAGTCGGCAACGCGATAGATCCTTGCCAGGCAAAACAATGCTAATGCTTGCTCAGCATTTATTCTTTTCCTCTCTCAACATGTCGAGTAACACGACCGAGAATCAGAAACGCAAAGGTATTATTTACAGGTTAATCTAGGCAACATTGAGCGATTCCGATTCGCTCTTCCTTGATTGGCGGCCTCTGACGGAAAGTTAGTATCGATCGAGCTAGTTGATCGTGCTGGCTTACAAAGTGATTCTTGCACAAACATGCAGGTCTTGCTGCTCGTCTGGCGGCGGAAAGTCGATCGAACAGCCCCAGTCTTTCCGTTGCCAATGCGTAGAGGAAAGCCAACAGCTGCCATTACCATGCTCTTGGCACACTAACTCTGACCACTTTGTCAAGCGCTGCTCGCGGAGCTCAATGATCAAGTTATCCTTATGATAACCGCGTTTCACTCCCAAATCAGGCTATCTCTACCTGGTAAGTCAAAACAAGTACGAAACGCATCGTGGGGTGAACTGCTTGGAAGAAGCAACATCGAACACCTTTAGTGTAAAAGTGCTTCTAAAAGCTGGATTCTTCAAACTCCCGAGCAGGAAGCCGTCGTCTTATCATACGTACCACCCCCCACGTCAAAATTGAAGGTAACTGATTTGCATTAGTTGGTTGAAATGAAGGATGACTTGGAAACCGGCAACCTGTTAGATTTCAATAGATAATTACTGCAATACATCCTCAAGGAAACAACACAGTAGTACCTTAAGTAAAAGCACTAGGTTGTATTCACGCTAAAATGCATAAACGTCGAAAAAAGTATTTGTCTGGCATCTTTATATACAGCTACAATCGTATGAAGAAAAATGTCCGAGCATAAGAAGCAGAGTAGCTTGTGCTAACAGCGTTTTTGCAGTTACCTTCATGATGGGAGAACAAGCGAACATGGATTTCTTTAGAAGAATGAATTTAATTTGAAGAAAGCAACTGCGTTTTGCTTTGTTATAAAACTGTATTATTTGGATATGGTTGTCATTGTGTAACAATTCATCGGATACATACGAAACAAGAGGTAGATGAAACAAATTAATATGGTAGTAATCACAAACGGAAAGTAACGTACAATAAATATTTGTATTGAACATCCATGTGCTGACCACTTCTCTACGTGTACCACTTTTGTTTATTCCGGGGTACATTAAGCCTACGGACGTCTTACTCTACTATATTGTTGTTATTGTTATATTTCGATATTCTTTGATACGGATCTTCGCGGTTACAAGAAAGTGACGCATCCAAATAAAAACCTATCAAGACGTCATTAAAAGTGATGTCGCATATCCGGACATCAATGTTCATATCGGAAGCGAGAGCAGCAGGTTTTTCCAAGTTTCTTTCACATAATTGAATGACAGTAAAATTCTCCTTAATAGAATTCCAATTGAAAATAAGAATCGTCTAAGGAACCATGTTGCATAAATTCACGGTGCAAACGGATTCACTGCTTGTTGCAAATATCATCAGAGAAATGTAGCAGATTTGACCACGAACAGTTTTAGCCATCCTCGAACGCTTTCTTGGAGGTAACATGGCAAACGCTGCTGCTGCATCCATTCTTGTTTCACATTTATCTGTAGCTTTCAAGCGTTCTATTTTTATTAGGGCGTTGGTACAGTCCGTTGTTAGCGCGTTATTGGCTGTCTTTCTTGGTACTTGTATACAACTTTCAATTGGCGCAGTAGAACCCGCTGTAGGCTCACGTTAACATGATTGCCTCTATACAAGAAACTTGTAGGGAGTGTTTCAGGTGGAGTGAAGTGAAACAGGGGTATCTTTGGTTACTAATTCCAGCTAATGATTCGATATCTTTTATTTAACATCATAAGTCTACATAAAATAAGGCCTGCTATGTATTTCTCTATTCCAGACCAGTCATCTTGCAGTAAAACATTCACAAATTCCGAAAGTGGTGTGATACAATCTCCTGGATACCCTTACGATTTCGACATCAATTTGCTTTGCAATTATGCTGTCACTGTGGCCCCTGGTTCACAGATCAGTCTAACATTCTATGAAGTAGAAGTACGTTGTGTTGCTCACTTTGAAACTGCAGACTCGTACAAATGCATTTTTGTTTTCATTTAGCTTGCGCGGTATAACATTCTTTTTTTAACCACTGCCGCTTACTACTTGGTTTAACTGAAATGATTAATACTCAAAGAAATTGCTCGCGAAGGTGCCGCAGAAGGGATTCCAATTCTAATTTGTTTTCTTACAACTTTTTGATAATATGATGGCGTTGGTTCTCTTTTCAAACGCACAGTAACCTGGTGGGAAACGGAAGGTCACCGCATTTCCGCTTAGTGTTTCCATGGAACAGCGGTCATGCACACACAAGTCTTGACGATGTTAGGATAGAGTTGGCTTCGCGCAACAGAGTGAATGAATGCACATTAGCGTAATTAGTTCATCCATGATTCAACCTGGGTGTACCACTTTAAGCAACATCATCTAGTGCATTAAGCGGTGCAACTTAACCATACTGTCTTAGTGTTCCAGTCAATGAAGTACAATGACTCCTTTCTGGTCTTTAAGTTATGCCAAGGAATTCACGTGTATACGATCTATTCCTTAACTAAATGAACATGACATCTTAGTCAATGAGTCACATTCCCCTACTTGAAGAATGAACAGTGCTCTATAACGGGTATAAAAGCAGGCGCTTGACATGTCCCGTAGGGTGGTTTGCGTGAGCAAAGAGAGACCAAGGGATAATGGTACCGTCGTTTCAGGTGATTACAGATTTTTGAGCACATAAGTCGGGCTTAGGGTGACGGATAGCAATTGCCTCAGCTTCTGCTAGTAAGCGACATTTTACCGCTCGTGAAAGGCTTCCAGGTACACGGTAAATGGATTGGAAAGATTGGCGGGTGTCGATTTGGTGATTAGAATCGACCAAGTGCGCCCACACGGCGCTCACCACAGTTTTTCTCCCACCATTGCGTAGATTAGCTAGACAACGCTCACGTATTCTCTCAGACAGCTTCCTAGTAATTCTTCCGATGTATCTTGCTCGACAGGAACAAGAGAAGGAAGATACACCGTAAGATGCACATGACCAAGAAAGTCTGTCTTTGAGTTGAGGCCTCACGATTGGTGTCGAAATAAAACTTAGTCGCAAGCTCGCTGCGTAGTAGGTATGGCTCATAGCGTCGGATAACTTTCTGGATTTTACCTGCGCTATACCATCCCCTTTGAACGGCAACGACAAATAAACCAGTTTCTTTTCTAACGAAGCTGGTTTAGCTCTCATTTCTCGGCACTCCATATATTTCCGAACAAATATTTCTGGATATCCATTTCTCTCGAAAACACCACTTAAGAAACGGAACTCGTCAGCAAGTGTGTCCTCACTGCAAATCCTTCTGGCCCTTTCGGTTAGACATCTAATCAAGTTGCGTTTCTGATTTATTGTGACAAAACTGGCAAAATGTGCATATTGTTTTTTCCAGGTTGCTTTTCTATGCACCTCCCGTTGGACCAATCCATCTAGTCTTCTACTAAGGTGAAGGTCTAGGAAGGGCATCGTGTCATTGCCTTCAGTTTCTAGGGTGAACTTGGCATTAGGGTGCACTGAGTTAAAATGAGGTAAAATTGTCTCCGGGCAACAGTGCCTATCTGTCACGCAAAATATGTCATCCACATATCGTCAGCAATATGGCAGACCGATAATGACTCCGCTTAAATAGGTATCCTCTAATTTGCTCATGAACACATCAGCTAGTAGCGCTCCAAGCTGTGAGCCCACTGCTACTCCATCTTTTTGTCTGTATATGGCCCCGTTAAACTGAAATTGTATGTTACTAGTACACAGCAGGAGTAGCTGTTTCAATCGATCAGTTGAAACGCGAACACCCAATTGATGGTCTCGAACAGTGTCACATATATAGTCTATTGTCCCTTCTAACGAAATATTGGTGAAGAGCGACACCACGTCCAACGAAAACATCCCTCTTCCAGTTAGTCGAAACTGTCTTATAGAGTATAAGAAAAAGAATGTGTCTCGTAGGCTGTACCCGGACATAGTATTTCTCACCGTCTCTAGAAGCGTAGCTAACCACTTGGCTGTTGCGTGATACAGTGCATTGCACATGTCTA